AAAAAAATTCCAACAAATGGACGTCCATGAATATATTCAATTAACATAGACTTTGTTGTGCTTTGGAGTGTGAATAGATTTTTGAAGGTAATTTGTAGAAAACTAATTCGTCGATTATTTTTGATTTCTATACTTGTAGCTACAATGGCAGATCCAACATCACTTCCAAGCACAAGAACAGTATCAGCATCATCTTCCGTGCAACTGTATCAAGTTTTTGTAAAATATCAAAGCACAAATAGTTTCACGGTTCCTCTGAGTGATACATTTTATCAGGTATCTGAACACACCGAGGTATTTCACGTAACACGTAACACTCTGTTTAAAATTACTGCACAAGGTACTCTCTGTGGAGGGGGAGAACTGAGTGCGGATCATTATGATCAGTTCCTCCAAATAATGATGAATGGACATATAATCATTGGAAATCTACTTGTACCAAATACGGCTGAAAGAATCAATCATAAACTAGGTAATACTGTGTGGGAGGTTGACATAGTAGGAGGATACGCATATATTGCAAATACTGTAGTACGCATTACACGTATAGCATTTATCTATCTTCGACCAGGCACCTACACAATCAGCGTAGGAACACGAGCCGCCTATAAAAGTGTTTACCTTGCCAAAGCCGTAATGACTGTTGAACTGACACAGTTTGAAAATGAAAATCTAACGTCCGTTGGTAATTTCCAATTGACCAATCCGCCGAGTTGACGTAAGAAAACAGATGGTTTTCAAATATATGACAATAACATCATTTATTCATCCATATTTCTCATTTTTCTTTTTCTTGAAGCATGTTAACTGCATACCAGGAATATGCGAGCATAAAATAAAAGTTATTCTCACAATTTTATATAAGACTTAGTGCAAACTGAAAACTTAAGAGAGAATTACAACTAAATGATGAGGATGTGGATATGGGGTGTGGGATGTAGGTGTCGGTGTTGGTCTTGTTCTCATTCGTAGCCACACTCACATCCACATATTTATCTTTATTTTTTTTTGTAGAAAACAACAAGCATAAAATGTTGATTATTATCTATTTCAACAATAGATTTTAAAAAAATAAAGATGAAGTATTTTATCTGAATTTATAAAGAATAAAATAATAAGTTGAGATAATTATTCATGGATGTGAAATGATTATTTCATCAAATAATGTATAACTTGCACTAAAAGAAAATAAATAATAATAAGTATCTTAAAATAAATTGCATGAAATCTTAATGACATTTTCTCCCATTTTCAGATGATCAAAACTATTCTCTTTTGGATGAAAGGATAGAGAACTTTAAGCTCT